TAATGTGGCAGTCAAATGTGTGTCTATACCAAATCACAAGGCTCTACCCATAAGAAAATGTATTTTCTTTTAATTTTAGAAGAAGAAGAGTGAGGTAACCATTAAGGCCTATCGAAAGCCTATCTAGCTCTTATAGCTTTCGAGTTATGCCTTGAAAACCAAAGCTCAAAATCGTATTTTATCGATATTTGGCAAATATGACTTGATATCGACAAAAATTGTGAAGCTCGTCTTGGTATGGCAGAGGAGTATATACAATTCAAATTTCAAGTCTCTAGCTCTTGTAGTTCCCGAGATCGACGCGATGATACAGACGGATCTGCAAAAGGACCAAATCGACCCGGCTCGACGTCCTGATCAAGGTCGTTTATATACTCTGTGTGTTCGGACTTGCCTACTTCTGCCTGTAACAAACCGTAACAATAACGAATATACCCACCATATTTAGTGAGCATAGGGTATATAAACAGCTTACATAACGAGCAGAACAATCGAATTTGTTCAATTGGGAGATACCCTGTATCACATGTTATGGCTCATCGCCTAGTCAGTCACCGACTCGATAATGAGTCATGCATACCCTTTCTAACAAGCACCTTATGTAGGGTATAACAAATCAATTTAATCCAAATACTAAAACGCATAAGATTTGTACAGTTTTTCCAAAAAAAAAAAAACGATTTCGCAAAGAAACCAAACGTACAAAAATAAACAACGCGGAGCGGTCGAAGTGGCCAAGTGGCTACTCAAGAACCGCCACCGGAGCCAAAGGTGGAAACACACGGCCACATTCGCGGCGGCGAGCATGTGGGCCATGTGGGGGAGCGGCCTCATTAGCTGGTTGCGGGGACCATGCGGAGGGCCGGGGGCGGGGGCGGGGGCCGGGGGCTTGCGGTCTGGTGGGATCATAAACTAATCAGGCGCGGCATAAACAAATAAATTTTTGTTGTTTTGCGCTGCTGGAAAAATCAGTGTGAGAAAATTTGGAAGGCGAGAGATTTCAAATCGAATGCGACCTTGTTGGAATTTAATTTCGAAATGCGTTGCGTGCTTTTGACTTGTGTTTTTCGCTCTTCTTCTTCTTCTCCTTTTGCCATTGTGAATAGCACGCGAAAGCGGACCATTTCTGGCAAAAGCTAATTTGGCTAATTTGGGCCTGGCCAGAATAAAAATATAGTCACTGATGCAAATCGGAAGCCATAAATAAACATATACAAATTTCCAATATTCTTGGCACTTGTTTTTTATTTTTGCTCTTACTTTTGTTTTTGTTTTTGTTTTTTTCTTTGCAATATTTTCACACATCAACAGCTGCCAAGTGAGAGCGGAATTTTTCTCATTTTCTATTCTCTGCGTATTTTTATGCCACCATAAAGACAACAACAACAACAACAACAAAATAACGGAGAAAGAAAAAAAATAACAGAAACCAAAAGAAGGCGCAAATTTTTCGCTCAGAATTTTTATGACAGGCGGGTGGGCGGGTAGGGTGAGTGGCTGGCGGGGGCGGGCAACATCTATTGGTAGGGACTGTGTTGCCTTTACCAGCTGCCCGCTGAAGTGCTTCAAAATTTACGAGCCGCACACCCCCCACCGCCGCCGCCCTCCGCACACCAACATTTTATTGAATTTTATTTCATTCGCCAAAAGTGAAGTGCCGAAAGTCGTTGTTGTTGTTGTTGTCGGAATTGGTGTTGTTGTTGTTGTTGCTGTAGCAGTAGCCGTTTTGCAATTTATTGCTTGCAGTTACGAAATTTATTTCTGTGTTTTTGCTGTAAATTTACAATTTTGTTTTGCGGGATTCCACTCCACTCAACTTCTGCAGGTACAGCACCGCCCGCCCGCCCGCTCACACGCTAGCCGACGGCCAGCCTTACAACAGGCAGCATAGAAACCTTTATTCTTGATATTTTTCTGCCTTACTTTCGTTCGTTCTCTCTGTCTTGGGTGTAAGTGTGTGTGTGTGTGTTTGTGTAATTCGTTTCGGCTTCAATTGTTTGGCAATTGTTTTTATAACGCCAGCCAGCAGCAGGTAGATGAAGTGAAAGAGCAAATGTCCAGAGATAAAGTTATGTAAATTCCATGCGTGTGTGCATGAGAGAGCACGAGTGAGAGTGAGCGAGTGAGAGTGAGCGAGAGGCAGGGAATTAGAAACGAAGCGTGGGCAAATGCAGAGAACTTCAAAAGTAGGAAATAATAAAATTGACCCAAGACTTAAGGACTTAAATTTATGGATTGAGGCAGATAAGCAAAAAGGGATATTATTTCATTATTAAAGAAAAGCTGCCTTAAATTAGTTTATTCAAATTATGTTAACAATTTATGTAACTGTGCTAATTAACACGAACTTTAAAGACAGACAATATGTTCTGTTAATTAACAATAGAAGTTAACCTGAACGTTAAACATGCTTAACTGCAACTAATCATATTTGATAAGCTGAGGCAAAGTAAGGAACCATTCTAGATGCCAGACTTGACAGGCAGTTTGACAAGCAGCCAAAGAGTTGTTGGGCCCAATAAGCGGAGGTAGTCGCCGGGATTTATGTGACAGGCGGCGGCTTAAATGAAATTTGCCAAAGCAACAAACGGGCAAAATCAACGACAAAGGAAAAGGCACAGGGAGAGGCGGACGGACGGACGGACGGAATGCAGGCAGCGAGCAAACAAGCCCAAAGGACAACAGGCAAGGGGACGCAGGAGGGAACAAAACGAGCGCTGGCAATTGTAACCAAACTCCACTCGAAAACCCTAACTCGAGAGTTTTTCGAGGTTTTCCTCGTTTTCTCTATCTGACGCCGCAGCCGCAGGCGTCGCATTTGGAATTCTTTAACATGCGGCCGGGAACGAGCCTTGGCTTGGTTCGGGGAAAGAGCGACGGGCAACTGGGGAAGGGGCACTGTGGCATGATGGGTTGCCAGTTTGCGTCGCATAATTTGCTGGCTCTATTTTTTTTATTGTTGCTGCAGACGCTTTTATATTTTATTATTAAGACAAATAATGGAAAAGCCACTCGCTCAGCCGGAAAAATCCATGTTGCAGCTAGAAAGAGAGAGAGAGACAGAGAGAGAGAGAGAGAGAGGGGACCCAATCTGAATGTCAACCCATCCGTCGAAAGTCGAATTCACTTTGCCAGCGATCCGGGGACTCAACGTGGCTTTTCTCTAATTTGTTTAATTTATGCAAAATGTTGGCGATAAGCGCCACTAATTTGTACAAAGTTGTCGCAAGTTTTTCACGGGGTTATGAAAATGCCACCGAAAACGAAACTGAAAATGAAAATGCGCCGCAGCATTTTCATTTGCCAGCTCGCCGGCTTCCTCCAAAGTTTCGCCCCGACGCACAGCTTAAGGGGCTTAACGCGGCCAGCTTAGCCGAAATAATTATCGAATTTCAATCGAAGCAGGGCACAATGCATCCATTTGGCGACTCGCAAATGAGTTTACAGTCTTACTGGAATTATCACAATTCATTTGCGAAATCACAAGCTCAGCCAACGACCGTTAAATAAACTGCTTTCACGACTTTCCTTTGAACTTGTCAAATGAAAACCATTTCAGCTAGAATTATTAAAGCAGAAGAACTTCAAGAAGTTTAATTGACAATTTTATAAAAAGTGGTAAAAGTTCTTGAATAGAGAAATTCTCAATCCAAATCAGAAAATAAAACATTTTAATCTCAAAATTAATTGAAAAAAAAAAGCAATTTAGGCTGAAAGAAGGAATTGCTAGAAGTTTAATCAACAATTTTATAGAACTTTTACAACAAATTTAATAAAATTGTTTACTTTATAACTTATTTCTTATTTAATATTATCACGTAAAGATAAGAAGTTTTCTTTCCAAACGCAAAAAAAAATAATCATAAAACAACTATTTTGGGCTAAAATAATAAATAACAAGATTTCAAAAACATTCGAATATAGAAAAAGAATGCGTAAATAAAGTCCGATAAATAAAGTCTATATACGACTTTCCCAAAGAATTTCCCTCTATTTAAATGGAAATGGAAACCGTTTTGTGGTAAATTTTAAAAAAGAAGGAAGTATTAAAACTTTTATCGCCAATTTTATAAAACTTTTACGAAAAAGTTGTCAAATATTATACCCTGAAGATAAGAAATTCGCATTCCAAGCACGAAAAAAGGTCAAAAATGTACAGTATCGAAATTAATGGAAATTAACACAATTTTGAGCTAAAATTATCAAAGGGCAACTAGTTTAAGTTCTTTTATTAGTTGCGTTTTTGATAATCTTAGAAATACTCATTCGAAACTTGAAAAAATATTAAAACAGATCTCAGTTATAGTTAAAGTATAATATAGAATAATTTAAGATTTGGAAAAAAGTCGAATATCGATAAGAATGAATAAAAATTCGAGTTCTAAATAAATCTAGAAATAGTTCATTAGATCAAATGTAGACCTTTTCAGTGCATTCTACTTGAGTCTAAATTTCTTTTCTTTGGATACATTTTTATACCCTAAACTCATTGAAAATGGTTAAAAAGTGTAAACGTACATTTATTTTCATTATTATTTTTTGCTCTTAAAGACATTTAAATGCACAAAAAATAAAAATAAAATAAAAGTGCATATAAATTTTTGTTTTTTCACAAAGAGCTAACATATCTCAGGATTTTCTTGTTTACATTCAAAAGCCACAGATGGAAAAGATGAGATATTTTATTTGACAAATTTTGCGAAACGAAAGAGAATATTAGACAAGAGCCCAAGTCGAAGAGAAGTACCGTTATATTTGCTAATCAACAAATCCTTATTTGCTTCACAATCTCTTAATGTTTCAAACTGTAAATGTGAAGCGCATAAAAGCAAAGGGAACGAAAGGAGAAGAAGCACACACAAGTAAAATATATTCACGATTATTTGGGATCAATTTTTAAATAATAACAACTTGATTTGAATTGAAGAAGAAGAAAAACAAAAAGAATTGGGACTGAGCAAGAGGAGAGGATTTCATGTGATGCACAGTTATTCACTCACCTTGTCTGCCGTGTGTGCGCTGGGCCGTTGCGTTGGCTGCGTTATCCAGTTGACGATTCGGCAAATGCTGATACTCGTAGTCGTAGTGCGAGGACTGCTGAGCGGCGGCAGCGGCAGCGGCTGAGGCAGCGGCTGCGGCGGCGGCGGCGGCGGCTTGTATATTCTGTTGGTTTTGATGCTGCAGCGTTTGGCTGTGCAGCGGGGCGCCGGAGGCGGTGTGGCGGCCGGTCATGGGCAGGGTGCCGGGGCAGGGGCCGCCGCCCGCGTCGCGACAGTCGAGCGTGGACTCAAACTCGTAGGGATTCATTGTGGTCGACTCCAAAGGACATTCGTCGTCGTCGGTGTCGGTGCCACCGTCGTAGAGGCTGTCCGTGTGACGGTATGCGTGATGCTGGCTCTGCTTTGAGAACTTAATTTTGGCGGCTTTTGCGGGCCCAGAAAGCCGACACTCGGTACAGACAGACGAAATAGATGAGGCGAGGATGAGAAGAGGAGGAAGAGTGAAACGAAAGAAGGGATCAGAAGGTAGTCAGCTCCGTCCGCTCCGTCCGCTCAGGGAACAGTTAACGCTGTGTTCGGCGACTAACAACAATTTTTCACTGCACTTTGATTGCACATTTTATCCAATTCACTTTGAACTTCAATTTCTTGTTACGCTTTTTCTATGCGTTGTAATAATTTCTTCTATTTTGATTTTTTACTTTGAGCACATTTTGATGTCTTTCGCACTTGTCGGCACTTGTCTTATGCCTGCTTCTTCTTGCGTCGAATCAACACGATCGATCAGCCCACAAAGAGATTTCACAATATTTAAAATTGATTTTGGTTTGCAATTTTTGTGGCCAATTTACTGTTGCACGAAATCAATTGAAAGACACACGCGATAAACGCGACAAACAAAAAGGAGAACGAAAAGGAGACCACGAGTCAGGCAGGACAAGACGATTACTTAAACATACACACAGGTGCGATTTCTGTAGTAATTTTCGATTGCGTTTGCTTTTGCTTTACGCTTCAACTTGAGCGTCGAGTTCGACTTCGACGGTCGTTTGTTTGTTGCGCGACGGCCGCGTGGCGTGCGGGTCGGCTCAAATGCGAAGTGAATTCAGCGAGCGACGATTTCAAACTAACTTGCTCGGAGCAAATGGTTCTGTATGCTGGCGCACACAAGCAAGAGCGGTAGCAAGACATTGTAAAAGAGAGGGAGAGCGAGCGCGACGGAGACCGAAACCGAAGAGAGCGCATGCAACTTTCGTTCAGTTTTGCCACTCAGAGCAGCTGAGCGCATCGCAGAGCGCAAGTGTCGTGGGAGGGCTCTGATGCTGCGTGCATTGTTGTTGTTTTACTCGTTTGACTGGTCTGCCGTCGCTGAGAACGCTCTGCGCATGACGTCGCTGCCGATGCGCCGGCAGCGCTGCCGCCGACCCCACTCTGCAAAGCGCTTAACGAAACTCTGCTGATTAGTTTTGAAGGTTAAAAAAGTGCGTTGAAGTTTTGGCAAAGCTTGCCGACGGCGCAGGGGAAATATTTATATGTATGCGCTTAGGGGTGCTAACTGCGCTCACAGTTTCGTTCAAATTTATCTGCTGCTATTGACATTTAACAGTGACAGCAAATAAGGCTAGAATAACAGACGACGCTAACGGCAATTTATATTGACACTGTTACATACGTGTGTAATGTTATTTCTAACAGAGCTCAAATTCTAATGTATTTATTGGCCAGATATCGAAACTATTTAAGGTGCTTAAATTTGAGTATAAATTTAAGTTGCCCACTAGAAATTCAATTAAATTAGCTGACTCAAATTTCTCCCCCACTTAATTAGGATTTGCAGTCACCTATGATTCCGCTGCAACAAAGCAAATCTCATACAAAAACATTCTCCCATAAGCTGTCACACTTGCAAAAAAAAAAAAAAAACGAAAAGGAAACAAAAAATTCTTCAACTTCATTAACGTTGTAGTAAAGTTTTAGTCCAAACGCGTTCTGGACACAATGCAACGAGAGGAACAACCGAAAAACTTTGCTTAGCAGCCGAAAAATGGGCAACGCAGATTCACAGGGGGCAGAGGGCGACTGGACAGGAGAGGGGGAGCGGGAGCTGGACGAAAAGTTTAAAATGCTGACAGTGAAGTTGTCATTTAGCGCCGAGGCAGCACCAACAACAACAACAACAACAACAACAACAGCAGCAGCAGCAGCAGCGGGAGCGGCAGCGGCAGCGGCAGCGGCAGCGGCGGCCAGGCACAGTGTGTCCAAAACTCTGGCTAACGAAGCATCAGACAATGGACAGGCCAAAGAGAAAGAAGCAGAAAATTGCGTTATAAGCAAAGTAAAGGACATTTCGCTAATGGCTTAACTTTTGAGCAGGTTTTTGGGGGCCAATCCACATCCGCATTCGCATCCGCATCCGCATCCACACGCTCATGTAGCGGAAGTTGTTGCTGAAGCTTTTTTGACAGCTTTGAAGCAAGCGAAGAAGAAGACCAACAAGAAGAAGATGTTCTTTTCACGGAATGTGGCAACGCCGCATGACGCGCGACGAGCCTGAAACTGAAATTATTTGCGTAGCATTTGCAACTGGTTTTTCCTTTTTGCCATACATTTTCCTCAGACTTCTCGCGCTCTCTTGCCTCTTGCCTTGCACTGCTGTCGATGAAAAGTCAATTTCCTGTTGTGCACAAAATGTCGAGCATTCAGCAGATGAGCCCAGAGACTAGACGAACCAAGCAGCAGACCCGCTTGCAACTGACACATTGCAGATTTTGCCACAAAACAGTCGAGCGTTTAGCACCCGGATCCATGCGAGGTCACAGGGTGACTTCCTCCAGGACTATAGAATTGTCTAATGTGCGAGAGGGAAGACGAATTACAAGTTTAACGAGTCGCCTGGGAAACTCCTAAGAATCTGCTGTGTATATATTTCTTTATAGGAGCACGCTTTGAGTTCTTCAAATCAGACATTATAGTCCAATATGAAGTCCGGATTGCCCGTACAGGTTCTTAAAGATTAATTTATTCACAATTTATTTTTAATTTTTTTATAGGCACATAAAAACGGCATTCAAATGTGAGTATACACCAAATTACAAGGCAAAAGCTGTAAGCCACTTTTGTTGCTTTCAATTTTGGTAGGAATGAGGGGGGGTGGGGGTGAGATAACCAAAAGATGAACTATTTCTAATCTGTGTATACTAAACAAGAGATGCATACCAAATTTTGTGTATCTAGCTCTTTTAGTTCTCGAGTTATGCTGAAAAACCCAAGTTTTAAATTCGATTTTAATCCATATAATTGGAAATCAACTTTGCTCAATACTGGGTAACTGCAAGTCGGTCATTACCGACTGCAGAATTCCTGTTATTATTACTGTGCTTGATGTTAAAATGCCTTAAAAAAGTATTAAAATATATTTAAATAAGGTACGAAAATCCAACTCCATGCTAAACATATTAAATTCCGCTGCAATTCTCACAATTAATTAAAACAAAGTTTGCATAATATGTGTTGGATTTTGTGTTAAAAAATTGGACAAAATACTTTTACTATTCATTTTGCTATCAAAACTTAAAATTGTTTAATTTATTAAAACATTTTTTGGCTTTCTTTATATTTTAAGAATTTGATACAAATTGTAGCGAAAAGAAATGAGTTGGCAAATGGGAACTTCTTTTGAAACACAATTCTGCACTGGGAAGGTTTTATGGCTTGCAAATTTGTTTTTTATGCCCTGTAACCTAACAAAGGGTATAACGTTTTTGTGGAAATGTATGTAACAGGCAGGCAGGAAGCTACTCCGACCGCATAAGGTATATATATTCTTGATCAGCATCAATAGGCGAGTCGAACTAGCCATGTTCGTCTGTCTGTCCTTCCGTCTGCCTTCCTTCCGTCTGTCTGTCCGTCTGTCCGTCTGTTTATCCGTTAGGCAACTTATAAGAGCTAGAGACTTAAAGCCGCGCAGTACAAGTTTGTTCCGATAGTCGATAACTGACCTCGCTTCCAAGCAATCGATAAGAATCGATATAGTTTTTAGGCTCCAACAAGCAGGCGTAGGGTAGCCCATAGTTGTGCCTTCCCGACTAACGCACCTTTAACGTGCTGTGCTTGCCTTGAGTCCTTGTCAAATATGCATTTTATTGAAGTTTTTGTTTTAAAGGACCTTCACCTTTTATCAGAGTTTTAGTTGCCCAACTTCCCCAGATATCGAATAACATTATTTTCCAGAGAGCTTTCAATGGCAACATCTGTGCTCCCAGTCAATTATTATAGTCGTTCCTTTAACAGTTGACTCTGCTGCAGTTCGAGCACAAAAACTTGCTGCCAAATTGACTTCCCGTTTGGCCAGGGCTCAAATTTCTAACCAAGAAAAAAAGAAGAGGAAAGGCTTCCTCTGCCTGCCTTAAGCGCATTTTGCCGGACCACAGACTTTGCACATTTGTTGCATTTCAGCTTAATTTTGCAATTACTCTCTTACTCTTGCCCCCTCTCTCCCTCTCGCTCTGCCTCTGCATGGCTCACACATGCACTTGGTGTCCTGTTTAAGGACAAACAACAGCGCGTTGTCCTGCCTTGTCTTTTAGCCTGCACTTAAAGCTACAGCCAGGAAATTTGATCAGCACTTAAAATCTGCGGGCGAGGGGTTGGTGATGCAGGGCTTCAGCGCAGGATGGGGGCGGCAAGGACTTTAAAATGTTGCAACAACAAGTGGCACAAATAGCTGCTGCTGCTGTTGTTGTTGTTGTTGTTGTTGTTGTTGCTCAACTCTTGACCCGCAATCAGCGGCAGCTTTGAACTCGTGCTGAAGCCACAACAACAACCAAACGTTGCGGCATTTCCTGCGTCAATTTTCACAATATAAAGAAAACAAAGCCAACAACAACAACAACAATCTGGTGAAAAGCGGGAAATGGCCGAAAGGCAACGCCAGCCATTGGAATGCAGGTCATTTTGGGCGCCGCACGCGACTCCAGAGCGGCTCATTTTGCAGCTCAGTTGCAGTTGTTGCCACAATTCCAGCAAATGTGTGGCACATACGCATCCATACATATAT